GACGGCTCTTAACAGGGAAGGCGACGGCCCGGAAAGCCGGAGATTCCAGGTTCGACTCCTGGCTAAGGAGTTTTTTGCAATATTTTAAAATTAGTTAGGGGGGTATACGGAGTCCTTCATATATGTGATGCAAATCTAGCATCCTATATGGGGGGAAAAAATTGAAAATTTATTTCAAATACGTATATACATATATGCATACATATACATATATATAAGCATATTTCTGCACATCCTGCAAACGGCTCCAATAACCAAATTTCATTTCATTTCTTAGATTAAATATTGTACTCGATTTTTTTGCCTTGAATGTAAATGTGTGCTTTTAATGCTTTATTATCTTTGCATAAATTCACAAGAATGCACATGAAATGTGGTTGCATATGTGTACTTTATAACAGTATTAATCTTTTGTACACTAGTCAATACAAAATACATATGTTGCACAAAACACATTTTTTTGTTATAGCAAAAATGTCACTATATATCTAGCAAACATAGTACAAAAGTTATAACAAAAAAAAACAATCGCTGTGATCTATTCATGAGTCAGTGAACTTTTGGTTTTGCTGATTTTGTTTTCTTGAGCTTCTTCAATCCATTTATATTTGTTTTTAATAAGTTCCAATATGCTTGCTGGAACTTGTTTACATCTTTGGAATGAATCTAAAAACTTTCCTTTGTAATAGTTACTTACAGTACATTGCAATTTCTTAATCAGAGATGAATACATACAATAGTAGAAATCTTTTTATTGCGTAGCGTTGCTCTAACTAAGCAAAGATACTCTGTTGGAGTTGGCAAAGAAGCCCTGCCTTTTCTAGGTACTGGTTTATGATGTCCATCAACTGAAAAGAACTCAGTTATTTTTTACACAAGAGACTCTAGACAAAAAATTTTATTACACAAACAACTCAGATGTTTTTATTAGATCCTTTTTTTCTTAAGAATAATTATATATTTTAGTACCCTAATAGGCAAATTGTAAAAATATTGCACAAAAATGGCATCATAAATAACGACGATTTTACGATGATTGTACTAAGATGATTAGCTATAACGCAACAGTTTTGTCGAACTAAAATGTAAATAATATTTGTCAAAAATTGCGAAAGAGTCGTTATGCATTTCCTTAAGTATATACATGAATTAAGTTGATTTCTTTGTATGCAATTATATTTCTCTCTCTACATATTTTAAACATCACATAGCTGAAATTTTTTCTCAATTATTGGACAATTTTGTTTTGAAATTAATTTTGCAAATATACTGCTAAGATGATTCGCCATATCGTTATTCTTTTGCCAAAATAATATTTGGAAACTAAGTTTGCGAACAATATTTTTACATCTATTTCCAAAAATATATCTGTATAATTGCAAGTTACAATTTAAGTGCAAGATTTCGTCACATAATTTTGTAAATGTTTTCCTACCAGGGTATTAGTTTACTCAGTATCTCTTTTTTATTTTACAAAAAGATTACTTATGACAATTTAGAATTAAAAATTTACTTTTCTCCTTAGAAGAATAAAAAAATATCTCTTATTATGAAACAAGACAAATATACTCACATCGTTTTATTGTTAGCGACACGGCACCAGAAAGACGCGACTTATCAAACAATTTGGTTAACTCTGCTAAGAACTGCAAATACAAATAACCAGTTAATCGATGTCTGAGAAAATAATTTTCTGGCAAATTATCGAGTTACCGTCTCATTTTCAAGTAACACCATTTTGGCAACAACAGTATATGTCAATTATCAAAACACGTCAAAGATAACCTTCTATTGAGAGGTTAGAAAATGAAAATCAGATTAGGCTGGTTTCCTTTTAGGAGACACAATCGACACAAGTCGACACAAGAGTCATTCTGTCTTTGTTTCTCACTGCATACTGAACGAAGACAGAATGACTTTTGTGTCGACTTGTGTCAACCATAGACGTATAATATATAGACTGCGCGCAGTGTTGTTGCGAAGTCGCGTTTTCGCGCATGCGCACTGCGCTGCTAGAAGAATGCAGTACTGTACATATATATGCACGTAAATGAGGGGCACCAACATGTACAGTTTTGGCGGGATCTCGCAGTAGGTAGGGACTGAAAAGGTTAAAGAACGTAGGATAATTTTAATTATAATAATTAATTATAATGATATTACTAATTATTTTTGTTGCTGAGTTTATTTGTTTTAGATACGTGCCTCGAAAAGAAGAGATTTTGTGATATATATATATAATTTAATATAATAATATAAT